GGGGAGGGGAGGGGAGGGGGGTAAACTCAAGGGGGAAGGTAGAGAGCTCGAAGGGAGGGAAAGGGGGTGAGCTCGCGGGAAGGGGAGGGGGATCGAGGGGAGAGACAGGAGTTCAGGAGGAAGGATCTTGGTGAGAGGAGGACTGTCAAAGAAGAAGGGGTCAGGGGGAGGGGAAGAGGGGGAGGGGAAGAGGGGGAGGGGAAGAGGGGAAGGGGAAGAGGGGGAGGGGAAGAGGGGGAGGGGAAGAGGAGGAGGGTTCTCTGAGGAGTAGGGTCGGGGTAGAGCTTAATGGAGGGGCAGGGAGTAAGGGGGAGGGCTAGGACTCGGCACTAAATCTTCATCTCTGACGACGGGGATCCTCAAAACAGAATTATTTAGGATTTTGCGTAGTGCCATTTTCGCTCTCCTACTCCCATTCTTATTATTTACGGTACTGATGTCAATACATTCGTTATCGTTGCTATTCTTATTGCTGCCATCATCATCGATGTTACTCTTTATAACGATGATCATCATCATTTTCCTCATCACTATCATTACAATGTCGTTATAGCCAATGCTTCACTCCTTACTTCCTTTCCTCCTTCGCTCCCTCCCTTCTTCCTTCCCTCTCCCTCTTTACCCTCGTCCCATCCTTCGTATCTACCTTCCCTATTCCCCTTCTTCTTCCTTCCTTCCGTTCTTTCTTCCTTTCTTCCTTCCTCCCTCCCTCCTTCCTTTCTTTCTCCCTTTCTTCCTTCCTCCCTCCTTCCTTCCTTTCTTTCTCCCTTTCTTCCTTCCTCCCTCCTTCCTTCCTTTCTTTCTCCCTTTCTTCCTTCCTCCCTCCTTCCTTCCTTTCTTTCTCCCTTTCTTCCTTCCTCCCTCCTTCCTTCCTTTCTTTCTCCCTTTCTTCCTTCCTCCCTCCTTCCTTCCTTTCTTTCTCCCTTTCTTCCTTCCTCCCTCCTTCCTTCCTTTCTTTCTCCCTTTCTTCCTTCCTCCCTCCTTCCTTCCTTTCTTTCTCCCTTTCTTCCTTCCTCCCTCCTTCCTTCCTTTCTTTCTCCCTTTCTTCCTTCCTCCCTCCTTCCTTCCTTTCTTTCTCCCTTTCTTCCTTCCTCCCTCCTTCCTTCCTTTCTTTCTCCCTTTCTTCCTTCCTCCCTCCTTCCTTCCTTTCTTTCTCCCTTTCTTCCTTCCTCCCTCCTTCCTTCCTTTCTTTCTCCCTTTCTTCCTTCCTCCCTCCTTCCTTCCTTTCTTTCTCCCTTTCTTCCTCCTCCTCCTCCTCCCTCCTCCCCTCCTCCTCCTCCTCCTCCTCCTCCTCCTCCCCTCCTCCTCCTCCTCCTCCTCCTCCTCCTCCTCCTCCTCCTCCTCCAGCCCCAACCCCACCCCCTTCCCTTGTTCCTCAGTCATCATCTCTTCCACCTTCACCCTTCACTCTCCCCTCAAACTCCGCCCCGCACCTATCTCCTGCTTGAGCCTGTGCCTCCGCCTGCACCCTCACCTCCTCCGCCTTCCCTCCACCTCCACCTCTACCCCCACTCTCACTCTCACCCCTACCTCCACTACTAGTATTCTCACTATTATCATTCATATCATTTTTGTTATAACATCACCATCACCACCACAACCCCCACCACCATCATCATAACCATCACCATCACCGCCAGCGTCACCACCACCATCATCGCCACTCTTTTCAATCAAATGCAAGAAATAGGCGCCACCTAAGATTTCGCGCCGGGCCTTCCTTCGTATTTCTTGAAAAAAAAAGAAGTCATCGGATATAATTGTGGTTCACAGTAAACACCCGAAATATCTAATTGAGCATTCACAATAAAAAAAAATAAGTGAAACACCACCCTCGCCACTTCTCCATTCTTCTTTTAAAAAATCACCATCATTATCAAAATCACTCTCGTCGCAGCCATCACCGCCCTCGCCATCATAATAACAACCTCTCCTCAACACCGCCTATATCACACCCACACGCCCACCTTGGTGCTTCATATACCCCCCCCCTCTGCCCCCAAGTCTAGCCTTCCCCGCCTCGGCCCCCCCCTGCTCCCCCTGCTCCCCCGCCCCTCCTGCCCCCCACCAGGCCCCCCTGGCCAGCGCCGTCCCCCGGTGGCCTTTGCCCCCGCCGGCCCGCTCGCGCCACTTCCGCGGTCCGGCCGCCGCCTCGCGCCCTCGCTTCCCGCCGCCGGCCGCTTTCGCCTTCCGCCTCGCCGCTTCAATTCGGCTCCCAATTCTTAGATGGCCACGACGGGCCATTTTGCTGAATTCATCTTCTCGTCAGCATCTATGTTCGGCTTCACGTGTTCTGACCAATCTGGCATTTCTGGCGGTTCTATTCCGACTCTCCGTCTTTGCATCTAATCCTAAATTATCTGCCTCCGCTCATCTTTTTAATATCAAGTTTCTTTTTTCTCCTAACGACCCTCCGGTGTTTTGATCGATTTATCAACTCCTTGCTATCTTATTCCGATCAACCTTTGTTGGGGAATGTTGTCGGGGAAAACGAATGGAAGTGTGCATTTCGCGTTCTCTAGTTATTTCAAAGCATTCATCGGTAATCCTCACTTTAGTCACCATCATCACAACCCTTACCCTCCTGCCACCATCGCCGCCAGAAATCACAGCAGCCACTGCAATCCCAAGCGCCGGCCCCCCCCCCCCCCCCCCCGGCCCGACTCGCCCGCCTCGCTTTGCCACGCCAAGCGGCGGCGTCCGTAGCACCTCTACTCTATCCTCCTCTTCCTTCTCCCCTCTCTCCATTCTGCTGGCTCTTGTTCCTTCTCCTTCCCTTTCCATCTCCGTCTCCTCTGTTCCTTTGCCTCTCCTCTTTTACTCTCCCTTTCCCTCTTCCTCCCCCTACTCCCCAAGCCCCGTCCCGAGCGCTTCCAGGTCCAGGCGGGAAATTCCGAGCATTATTAAGACGCAATACTCGATGTAGTTGTCCCCGCGGCCGGTGATGATGCAACCAGGCGATCGAGCGAGAAACGCTGCAATCGGATTTGGAAATTGCGATCATTAGTAACTGCAATAACTCTCCAGCGCATTCTGCTACATTTCGATAATGTCTAGAATGAAAAGTGAATATACAATTCGGACATGAATCCACAGCTGCCAAAATACGCAAAAACGAAGTCAGACCGAGAAAATTACTGCGTCACTTGACACAGCGAGCATCAATGAAACCGCAAACCCACAGTTAGTCACAAATACTTATGACTTAATCTTATGACAACCTCGTGTTGTGTCAACCTAATACGACCCAATGGCTATCAGGACAAAATCAAGCACTCCAAAAAGATCAAAACAAAATGAAGGGATTTCTCACAGCAGACCCCACATGCTGCTTCCCGGCCGACAGGTGAGGGCGGGGGGAGGCGGGGGGAGGCGGGGGGAGGGCGGGGGGCAGAGAGAGCTCTGATGTAAGAGCATTAAAGGACTCCTTTGTCACTTCCCTCAACGCGGCATGTTTTCGGAGAGCGCGAATGAGTGTTCACGGGCAAACCGAAGGACAGCCACTTACCGACAGACGCTCTTGAAAAGTCGGGCTCGGTGCGGGATCGTTTTTCAGCAGATTAAATGGAGAGCATCAGACGGCAACGTGAGAAGCACTTATTACGACTGACGGCAATTCCTCCATCAATGCACCTGTCGATTTCATTAAAGCCGAGCACGAATGCATATCTAATGGGCGCCCTCTGTAACATGACCACTCAAACCGAGATGGTCGATGCCGTGTTTGTGATCATCATCATCATCATCATCATCATCATCATCATCATCATCATCATCATCATCATCATCATCATCATCATCATCATCATCATCATCATCATCATCATCATCATCATCATCTGCTAATAAAGAGCAGATGATGTTGATCAAAAAGAAATTTCGCCCATGTTTACAACCATCCGTCAATACCTGCCTAATTGCCCCCGACGCCTCCTCACCTGTCTCGGTCACCACAGGCCCCGCCCATCCCCAGCGCCGCAAGACCCGCCAACGAGCAACAAGCGCCGCCCACGTGATCCTCCAGCCGTACTTACGCCGAGACCTCCTCCGGCCTCCTAGTGGAACCAACACCCGCGCCAAAACATAC